AGAAGGAGAAATGTCGCTATCAAAATTGCTGAAATTTTTAGAGATTACTACAAGGTGAAAAGGAAAAACGCTGTATGGAAGTGATGTCGGTCTGTTCATGAGGTGAAAAGGAAAAACGCTGTATGGAAATGATGTCGGTCTGTTCATGACCAAGAATCATCTGCGCCCACGGCTAAGCGGTTTTCTACAAATGTCTTTCAACAAGTATTTCATTAATAAGAAAGCTTAAAGTTAAACGGGAAATTAAAACAGTTCTACCAATATATATACAGAGGGTGTTCCAAAACCTCGTATCTTTTAGAACACAGTTATGGTAGGAACTTTCCTCACACCTCGATAGTTTTACTGAGAGTCGTTCTGTACTCTATCATCTCTGAAGCTGAAACAGTGTCGTTTTATAACATAACAATTACTTACGAATGCTCGGAACATGACGGATAACTAATTTAGCCGGAGAAAATAAAGGATCAGAAGATAAAGCAAGAGACAGACAATGTCTTATTTATCTGTGACTCGAACGTAATATTTGACTTTGGAGTAAAAGTGTCACATGGACGATATACGCGTGTTTCTTTCCGCTGGTTATGTAATAACTGCTCTGATTACTCAGACATTTAATACCGATATTTATATATGTTTTCAGAATATAAATAAGTATTTGAAAGGAGCATCAGACAAGTCGTATTAAAAGAAACAGTGCCGGAGGGAAGAGGCTTTTATTTTAGATAAGACCTTCGAACTGCTTACAAATTCCACATTGGCGGATCAGTCAGTGGAAGTTCCAGGTGGGTGGGCTGCCGAATTTGCTGGCGTAATTCAATTCGGGGTTTCCCCAGCTGCCAGTGACCCACAGAGACCTCGACAACTTTGTTGGAAACATTTTCGCAACATACCATGTTATTGCCAGGTTTAATAACGTCTGCTGAGTTCTGTACACGCTAGATGTGAAAATAATCTCATATCAAATTAAGACTAGGTAGGTAAGGTATTAATCTTCATGTATTAACATGGAAGAACGGAATTGCAATTTTAATAGGCGTATCGAAATCATTTATACTCAGACACCAATACGAAGAACCTTGAATGAAATCAGAATTAAAAAAGATTTGGCACAAAATCTTTTAATTCTCTTTTTATTTTAATACTGGACGGAGGGACGAAGGCCACTTCTTCGTGGTCCAAAAATTCCGACACTGGGATAGGTTAACCTGACTTATTGCCAAGAAAGCGACTTAAAATAGGCATCGAGTATTTCTTTCTTCAACTTTATTATCATCATTGTGACCCTAGAAATTGTGGATATCACGACAACGTAAACGTCTAAGTTGGTCTGCTGCTTGTAACGCCTTGAACTGTATCAACATTTCGGAGGAACATAAAGCCTTCATCTTCCCTCATCAGCCCTGAAAATGGATTCTGAAAATTTCTCCGAAACGCTGGTAGACTTTCGCAGGGCGTCACAACCCATAAGACCAGCATCAACATTATAACT